ATAAAAGGGAAAAGTGATCCTTCCTCATAATAGTTACCCCACTCTTTTTTAAACTAAATTGGACAGTAGATACCAAAGTGTCGTATGATATGGGATAGATGATATCAACCTTCAGTAGTTTGGTCACCTCATTTTTTCACCACATTAGGCTGTTATTGTGATGTGTTTCCTGAACTTGCTTTAGTAGTTGTCTGGGCTTCTGCCAATGAGTCAATACTATCACTAATCTCCTTACAAATGACGCAACTTTCATCCGTACATTCATATTTAGAAAGCTCCTCGTGGCTTATATTCAGAGATTCTAAGGGCTGATAAAAGTCAGAATTAACTCCTAGATCCAGCTCTTCATCCTCTCGACTTTCAACTGAGCAAGCGTTCATTAAGAATAACTCTCCCTCATTGAGAAAAGATGTGTAAAGGTTTTTCTACTCTATTTGAACTTCTCGACCACTTCTCAAGGTGATTGCACTTACATTCTCATTAGGATTGATAAATATTTGTGAGGGAAGTGCATTCAAACTTTGTTGTTGTAATGTATTAATGGTAGTGACCAATTGCCCAATTTGAGTTTGCATGTCATTGAAGGTAGTCATCATGAGCTACTCTAGTTGTGTGCTCCAAGTGTTCTGTGTTATCATCTATTGTGTGAGTTGTTTCATCAGATCTTCTAGTGTAGACCCAGAGTTACCTTGTTGCATAGTACCACTTGAGCTTTGCTGTATTAGCATAAGGTGTGGATTCACCTGTTATCTCAATAAGGGAGGTTGATACTCTTGTTGTTGGTAGAGGCCTTGGTTGCTTGACTAGAAATAAATCTTTGGTGGCTGATTAAAGACAGGATCATATTTCAAGTTTGGATGGTCTCTCCAGCAAGAATTATATATGACCAAGTATGGGTTGTACTCCTGTTGTAGACGATATGAATTTAATTGTCCATAATGTTGATGTTCAGGGAATATACCGTCCACTGTTTTCCTAATTAAGTTTGGTGTCTCCTGAAATTAAGGACATACATCAGTGGGATGATTTACAGAGGTGCATATCCCACATACATATTGTTGCTATCTAAATGTGTGTTGATTTGTGGTCAATTGTCGTATCAAAGATGTCAGCTCGTCCAATGTTCTTTCAAAATTCATGTCCTCAAGGTCACTTGTTTACTGGAACGACAACGGTAAATCATGAACAAGTACACTAGGTAGATTCCTAGGAAAGAGAGGTGAGTCCCTAATGGACACACTTAAGTACCAAGTTTTTTTTAGCCAGAACCTTCCTAGACATGCACTCTCATACTACCAAGCTATATCCAGAGTTTCTTATGAGAATGATTTTCAAGAATTTTCTTACAATGATGGCTTATCCAAAGTTTCCTGTGAAAAGGATTAAGGAGCACACAAAAACAAAATATTTTTTTTCCAGTTTTAAATTTTTTATTTTTGATTTTTTTAAGTAAAGCTATAAAAAGAAAATTAGAAAAAAAGAAAAGAAAATGATATTAGACAATGCTATACAACACAATTGTGTCCCCGACAACAGCGAAAGTTGACGACAACATTTTGGTCGTACAAAATACTGATAAAAAATAATAAACAAGTTGTTAAACTAATGCAGTATAGTTAACCCGTGTTGAATCTCACAAAGACACAATTATAGGAACATACACATTACCACATATCATTCTCTCTAAAAACAGTAAATAAAGAGATGGATGAAAGAGTGACAAATAAATTGATAAAAAATAATAAAAATTATAATCGAATGACTATAGAATATTAATGACAATTAAAATTTAATTAAGCATAAATATATAAATAAAATTTATAAAATTAAAATAAAATGATTTTAATTAAAATTGCTAGAATCAAAATTTACTTTAAAACAAAATAATCTAGTAATTAAAATTAAATTGATGTAGAATTTAAATAACTGAAATTTATAAAATTAAAATAAAGTACTTTGAATTAAAAGTACAAGAATAAAAAATTATTTTAAAATAAAATAGTGTAGTAATTAAATTTGAAATTTTTGGAAGCAATAACTCTAAAACTAATTTGAGAATTGGAATTAGAAAAGAGATGAATTGAAAATGAAAATAAAACAAGATCTGAAATAAAATAAAAATTATAAATAATTAAATAATAAAACTTAAAATGAGTACTAAATGAATAAAATAAATAGAATAATATAAACCTGAAAAATTCAATAGAAATTGTAAATTAAATAAAAAAAGATCAAACTAGAAGTGCAATAATAATAGATGAACTCGTCTAACTAAAAACTAAATTAAAAATTGAGAATAGGAAAAGAAAATGGGAACAAAACAAAATAACAGCTCGCTCCAGAGTAGGAGATTGTGTTATTATAAGACATTTATTTATAGGAGATTGGACAAAAAAAATTCAGTCTAAGATTAATTACAATAAAATCAAAATTTTCTCAAATAAAAAAATTACAAAATTGCATTATTGTAAAGAGAAATTTTTGTGATTGATTTGAAGCAAATAATTTGTTTCTTTCCTATTTTAAGTGATCTAACACTGATTTGCATTTAATTATTATTCCTGCTAGCTTTTAATTCAACTAAATTAGATTCTCGCACCAGTTAATTTACTTGATTCAAAAATTTTATTTGTAATATCCTGCAAGTGGACTGCATAAACAAACTTAGATTTCTAAGAAGAGTGAAACTCGGTTGCATCAATTTGAACATTTATTTCCATAAATTTGGTTCATCTCAAATTATTTTTCTTCTACGAGAGAAGAAAAGAAATATGTACTGAAAATATATGTATATTATCATTTATTCTAAAACTATGTAAAATACAATAAATTAAGAAAAATTGAATTATAATATATTTTTATTAAAAACATATTAAATGTATATTTTATGAAAAAAAAATATTTTAAAAAATACTCTTAAATAAAAAAATGATAAAATAACATGCCACTTTACTGCAAAATTGAGAATTGTCATTATTTGTATTCATGGAACACTAATAAGTTTTGGTGAAATTAGAGAATTGGATCTTCTCCTTTTGTGACCACTGAATTTAATATATATGATGGAAGGGGAAGAAAGATAGTAGGATATGATGATTGAATATTCAAATCTCATGTTTTTTATACAAATATATTCAATAAGATTGTATGATGATTAGGGTGATACAACTACGAGTATATTATACCGTCTTGTTAATATAAGGGTTTTAAAAATAAAAATAAATATTTTATTATAAGTTTTATATATAAATTATTTAAATTAAAGAAAAATATATAAAATTAAAAAAACAAATTACTCATTAATTTTTAAGAATCTATAATAAAATATTTAAATTTTTATAAATAATCCTTTATATTTTTTTATATGCTCTTAATTGTATTTGAGTTAAGTTTATATCTCTTCTACTATTTAACATTATTGTGTATTTATGATTTAAATTTAAATTTAAATTCATTAATTAAATTTAAATAATATTAGAAGTAGACAAACAATTCTTAATTTGTAAAATAATAAATATTTCGAAAAGGCTAACACAAAATAAAATAAAATATAAGAGTAAATGAATAAAAATTATTGTGGATAAGACACGAGGTTGTGTCCAATTAGATTAAAATGCACCAACCTATAATTAATAAGTGGGTGAGATTGAATACTAGCCATGCAATTCATATCATATCACATCCAAAGAATAGTGCATGCCATCTTTGAACATTTGATTTGAACCATAAATATTTATCAACCAGTACCATACTTATTATTCAACATTGTCCAATAAAAAGTTTGATTGAGAAGATAGAAAGTGACGGAGAAAAAGAATTGAAAACAAAGTTATTTGATTCAGATAAAAAAATAAAATAATTACAAAACAAAATGAGAATTATTTATTAATAACTATTATTATTATTATTATTATGATAAAATATACATAAATATTAATAAAATATTTATAATATTATATAATCAATTATATTTTCACGTAATAATTATATATATAAATAATTTGTTATATACATTTTTCTCATAATATCAAAAGAAATTGAAATATATTACATGAGAAAATAGTGTTTTCACATGTAAAAATGGGAAAAGAGGAACATTTTCTTCGCAAATCTGCTGTTCTCACAATATGGAAGCTAAAATGAAAAAGAAAAAAAGAAATCATAAACAAAATTGTTTTTATTTCTTATTTGTCTAACAAATTAGTTTATTAAACTATTGACGAAGATGTGAATCAAATATTATTTGGATCATAAAATTTTGTTGAGGAGTGTTGTACTATCATTTCCCCCTTCTGTATATTTATTTTTATTTTCAAAATATATTTTAAAAGTATCTGACTTTAATTTATCTGCTTTTGAGAATAAATATTTGTTTAAAAACATTATTAATTTGCACAATAAGGTAATACGTCATTAGCTTAGACAATGTAATGTTAATTTTTCACAGAATCGTAAAGTCTAATATAAATGAACATTGGCCACTTCCTTTTTTTTCATATTTTTTATTGTTTTATGATGATATATTTCATCTGTGAATATATTAATTGGTCCTCCCCGACAAGAAAAGAAACCAGAAAAATTTCCTTTGTTTTCCCCTTTGAAAACTAAATCATATAGTATTTTGAAATGCAGATATGTTATGAAGTCTTATTTAGGAAAATAGAAAAAGAAATTTAGTCTCTTCTAATGAAAGAGAAGAGAAACACCAGACTCAATAGCATGTTTCTGCTTGATTTTCTTTTTGATGTTTTTAACATTTTACGGTTGTGGAGGATAGAGCCTGGGGGTTATTTGAGATTTACATACAATTTGATCATGACAGATATATAGACATTACCAGCCACAAATATAATCTTTATTGCATTGATGTTACAGAGTAACCATTAGATGTGTCCGATTCTTGTAACAGCAACTGTATAGAGCTTCTGGATAGATAATCTGTTGCCATGTACATCTATGCATGCATTGTACAACCATTGGGACCAAGTGTTGGCAGCATGTCAGAGATCATCACCATCACTACTTTTGGAACAGTTTTTCCTATTGCAGCTTAATCTGGTACACACTCTAGATAATTAGTTTAAAAGGAAATTATGAATAATTTAAACATGTTTAACTCTAAAGACGTTGATCCCTCTAAAAGATTCTGTTATGAACATATTTATAGAGCCAGGTGGAATTAGTTTGAGGGAATACCCCAGTTTCATTGCTTTGGCTGGTGGTTCACTGTGTTGAGGCTGTGGCTGGCTTAGCTGGAGACTAATAGGAGCAAGAATATCATATCCATAAGTGATAGTGTATGGACAATTGGATGTTGCAGAACCTTCTTTTCTACCTTTTGCTTCAATAGCCTGAAATCCAAACTCTTTGTTCAAGCTTAAAATAATACATGAACTTTTAGGATCTGGATAAACACCGGAATAAGCTGATCATAAACGAGGGAAATCTATTTAACATTTGATGTCTTCTCCCTCTATTTTGCTTGTGTAGTGTGTCTAGGATTTTTCATTATATCTACAAGGTTATATACATATATGTATGAGACTGAAAGATGGCTAAATATTGTGAATGAGTTTATACCTTTCGTAGTTCTTCATTTTCCTTGCTAATGAGATTTATCTTTCTCTGAAGTTGTACATTTTCTTGATTAGCTAGGCTTCCCTACAATAGCATCAATGAAATTAGGAGTCAGAAATTCGTTGGAATACTATGAATCATTTGAAGGAACAGAACCTGATTCATGACACCTTTTGGTGTAGTTCTTTGACCTCATCAATGAGAATTTGATCCTGCACGCAGATAATAACAATAAGTGATCATGTAAGACTCGCGCATGTACCATGAAAGGGATCAATGACATCTTAAATTATAATGGACGAGTCAGCTTGGTTTGCTTTGACTTAGATGGTACCTTCTTTATGCGAACACCCTTCAAACTCATCTCCAATCGGTTCTCCAGATTCCCCAACTCTTTAATACCCAAACCAGAAAGTTCTTCACCCATCATTTGCCTGCTCTTTCATGAAGGAAGGATGGAATATTATTCTTCCTATATTTTTTAAAACCTTGTTCTTCATATTAAATGTGCTTATTGGAAGAGACCACAGTGTTGGAATATCTTTTCGGTGAAAATGCTATCTGTTAAATGGTAAAAAGTTGATATAATTATATCTTGAATTATTATGAAACTACTTAACTTATGGTAATTCTAATATATTTTTCTCCCAATATAGGATGAATTCGAGAATACCTTGATACAAGAGTAAGGAACATAATTGTCAGCATAATTGGAGTAAAATTGAAAGAAAGAAGAACTGATGCGAGGCCCGACCCAAATTCTCTTATAAAAAGACAAGTTGTGTTTTGAGAAAAGAAAAGAGTCTTGGAGAAGAGGAGGCACGACTACTGTTAGGGTTTCGTCTAATCTTCATCAATTCTTCATTTCTTCATCAATTAGAGCATTGTAATGACCAACATGAGTGACTAACTTTATTTTCTTAAGGTTCGGTGCACTTCCTTTGAACTCTTTTGTATCATGGTGATATTTTGAGATATTAATCTATGCTTTGATGTTGTTATTCTTATCCTTTATGCTTTGGAATGATTTATTCTTGATGTTTGAGGTATGATTGAAAAATATATCTTAAACCCTAGATCACGGTAAGAATATTTGTTACGTTAATTACCAGGAATGGAATGAATGTATCAATTGCTTAACACCCTAAACCTAATGTTGGGAAATCTCTTAATTGTGTGAGGAATCAACATTTATTAGGTTTTTTTATGAATTTCATGTGTGAGGAATCAACATGGATGATTTGAGTAGGTGTGATGTGAACATGACCTATGATAAGGGCTAGAGCAAGGGAAACAAATGAAGCTCTTCAACAAGTATTGTTGGTTGACCAAATTGTGTTTTGATCAATTAATGGGCTTTAGTTTGATTTTGTTTTAAGTTGTAATAAGGGTCCAATTGAAAATTTAGTCATTAGCCTTTGGGAGACCAAGGGGTGCATAACTGATTGACTTTTGGTTGCCACAGTTTCAAATACAATCAGTCATTAAGTAGTTTCAATTCCTAGGTTAATGGATCATTATTAGCCTTTATTTGTTTCCATTAAATAGTTTTCAATTCCTAGATTAATGGGTTATTATTAGTATTTATTTTCTTTTATTGAGTCTTTTGTAATTCTGATGGCAACACTTCTATATCAGCTGAACCATTCTTATCAAGAAAAAACAAGTGAAATTTTATTCAGAAATATTAGAGTTTATCTCTTTTATCTTAGTGAGAGTGATTCTCCTAAATTCTTGAGTGATTCAAGAACCCTTGGCTGTATCAAAGGACTGTCACATCCTTTGTGTGTTGCATCCCTTGGGAAGAGTGATTCTTTCCTTCCACCTTCTTTCAAATTCCTAAATTTCTTACAAGGTTCTAACCCTAAAGATCCTAAATTACCCCTTGTAATTCATATCATTTGGTATCAGAGCCTGGTTTAAAGGTTTGAACATTAAATTGATGGCAGAAGAGGAAAATTACAATCAAGAAGCAGGAATTAGTCCAATTCAAATGAGAGTATTGGTACAACATTTGGAAGGATTAATGATACGACATAACAATGAGCTCCATGAAAGATTCAACCAGTTGGAGAATAGAAATCCTGAAGACGAAGAAGAAAGGAGAAATAGGAGAATGAATGATGGAGTAACAAGACCAAGTAGGCTTGAAGGAGTCAAACTTAACATTCCTCCGTTTAAAGGAAAAAGTGATCTAGAAGCATACTTGGAGTGGGAGATGAAAATAGAGCATGTTTTCTCATGCAACAATTATGAGGAGACCCAAAAGGTGAGGCTTGCAACAACAGAATTTTCTGACTATGCTCTTGTTTGGTGGAACAAGCTACAAAAGAAGAGAGATAGAAATGAAGAGCCAATGGTTAATACATGGACTGAGATGAAAAGGATCATGAGGAAGCGGTATGTGCCGGCTAGTTATGCAAAAGACTTGAAATTTAAACTCCAAAAACTTACTCAAGGCAACAAAGGGGTTGAGGAGTATTTCAAAGAAATGGACATGCTCATGATTCAAGCAGAGATTGAAGAAGATGAAGAGGTAACTATGACCCGATTTATTGGTGGTTTGAATATTGATATATGTGATATTGTTGAGTTGCAGGAGTTTGTTGATATGGAGGATTTACTTCATAAAGCAATTCGAGTGGAGCAACAACTCAAAAGAAAAGAAGTGACTAAGAAGAGTTCTACTAACTTTGGATTTTCAAGTTGGAAGGACAAAGACAAAAAAGATGGGACTGTTACTTCTAGTAGTTCCACACCTATTCCTACAAAGACTCATTCAAAATATGAAGAACAACCCTCTAAAAAAAGTAGAGATGTGAAGTGTTTCAAGTATCAAGGCCTAGGACACTATGCTTATGAGTGCCCTAACACAAAGACCATGATTCTTAGAGAGGGAGAATATATAAGTGAATCTGAGGTTGAAGAGGGAGAAAAGAGTGAAGACACTGAGGAGGAGGAAGAGATTCCAAAGGGAGATTTATTGATGATTAGGCGATTACTTGATAGTCAATTGAAACCTATGGAAGAAAACCAAAGAAAAAATATTTTTCACACTAGATGTTTAATCAATGACAAGGTGTGCATGATGATCATAGATGGAGGTAGTTGCACCAATGTGGCTAGTGCTAGATTAGTATCAAAGCTAAATTTAGCTATCAAACCACATCCTAGGCCATATAAACTTCAATGGCTTAGTAAGGATGGAGAGGTGCAAGTGAGACAACAAGTTGAAGTGGACATTTCCATTGGAAAATACAATGATAAGGTGCTTTGTGATATTATTCCTATGGAAGTCAGTCATTTACTTTTGGGGAGACCATGACAATTTGATAAAAGGGTTAATCATAACGGGTTCACCAACATGATTTCTTTCATACACCAAGACAAGAAGATTGTGCTCAAACCTTTGAGTCCACAAGAAGTATGTGAGTATAAAAAGAAAATGAAATAAAAACTTCTTCAAGAAAAGAGAGAGAAAGAAAGCATTAGTGAAACACTTGAGAGGAAAAAGAGTGATCAAAAGAAGAGTGAAACACTTGAAGTGAAACAGAGCTATTTAGCCATAAAAAATGAGTATAATGTTGTTCTACATTTAATTTGTCAGACTTATCTCTTTTTAATGTAGATGACGAATCTGATTTGAGGACAAATCCTTTTCAAGAGAGAGAGAATGATGTGAACATGACCTATGATAAGGGCTAGAGCAAGGGAAACAAAGGAAGCTCTTCAACAAGTATTGTTGGTTGACCAAATTGTATTTTGATCAATTAATGGGCTTTAGTTTGATTTTGTTTTAAGTTGTAATAAGGGTCCAATTGAAAATTTAGTCATTAGCCTTTGGGAGACCAAGGGGTGCATAGGCGATTGACTTTTGGTTGCCACAGTTTCAAATACAATCAGTCATTAAGTAGTTTCAATTCCTAGGTTAATGGATCATTATTAGCCTTTATTTGTTTCCATTAAATAGTTTTCAATTCCTAGATTAATGGGTTATTATTAGTATTTATTTTCTTTTATTGAGTCTTTTGTAATTCTGATGGCAACGCTTCTATATCAGCTGAACCATTCTTATCAAGAAATAACAAGTGAAATTTTATTCAGAAATATTAGAGTTTATCTCTTTTATCTTAGTGAGAGTGATTCTCCTAAATTCTTGAGTGATTCAAGAACCCTTGGCTGTATCAAAGGACTGTCACATCCTTTGTGTGTTGCATCCCTTGGGAAAAGTGATTCTTTCCTTTCACCTTCTTTCAAATTCCTAAATTTCTTACAAGGTTCTAACCCTAAAGATCCTAAATTACCCCTTGTAATTCATATCAAGGTGGCATCAACATTATTAGGTTAATTGACGTTCTTAATTGATTTAGCCATTACAAAAGAGGGATAAGGAAGGAAGTCAATCTTAAGTACTTTTAATTGATATTTTCTCAACAATTTACAGTTTTTTGTCATTTAATTTCAATTCAACTCTTATTTGCAAAACTCAATCTGTTTAATATACTTAGTAAGCATAATTGGGAATTTCCATTGAAATTGTTCCTTGTGGGATCGACTTTTATTTAATCGAAATACTATACTGCGATTGATAATTTTGGTACGCTTGCCAATAATTCAACAAGTATTTCTGGTGCCGTTTCCGGGGAACGGTGTTCTTTGAGAATTCTTTGTTTAGCTTATTGAGTATTTTATTTTTATTTTTCTTTTTATTTTTCTTTATTTTTCAATTTTAATTTGCTTTGTATGTGCTAATCTTTGATTGAGTTATTCTTTTGATTTATGCGTTTAAGAGGACACGTATCTTCAGAGCAGTTAGAATTTAATCCAGAGATTGAAAAAACAGCTTGGAGGAACCGGGGTAGAAGAAGGGAAACTTAAGAACAAGCCACAAGAGAATCTGCTAATTCTTCTTTCACACTTGATTTACCAGACCCAATTATAGAAGATATGGCGGAAGAAGGAGAAAATCTGAATCCGAATCCAGATCCTAATATAAATCCAAATCAAAACCCAAATGCAAATCTACCTAGAAGAACTCTTAGAAATTGTGCTATGCAGCAAGGTCCAAGACATTTTTCCAGCATTGTCATTCCGGATGATCATACATTGTAGATGAATCAATCTTTCTTAAGCTTGATTAATGTTCATCAATTCACTGGATTGGATCATGAAGACCTTTATATTTATTTGTCTACTTTTTATGAGTTGATTGGTACCATGAGATTTAGAGCAGCAAATCTTGAATCTGCATATTTGATATTATTTCCTTTTTCTTTGGCAAGTAGGGCAAAAGAGTGGCTGAAAGCACATCCTAATCAGAGTCTGACTAATTGGAGTAGTGTAGAAGAGAAGTTTCTGAATAGTTTTTTCCCACCATCCCGTTACATCAAAGCAAAATCTGACATCACTTCTTTCAGATAAGGAGCAGAT